ATGTGTCCCCTGCAGGAGGCTGTCTTTAGATGAGTTCTGTAATTCCACTTTGCAGAAGCACTGGGGGTGGTGGGGGGAGGGGGAAGTCTTCTATTTTTGTGTGATTAGGGATGCTGACAAGTAATCAAGGGAGCGACTGAGGTAAGCAGAGGGTGGTTAACATTCTGCTTCTGACATTTTAGTAACACTAATCCTATCTCTGAGTGCAAAGTATTTATTATTAATTATCTAAGTTGTATCTAGATATTAAATACAATTAAATACAATTAGTACAGTAGTACTAATTCCATCTCTAAGTACCATGTATTTGATTGTTGTGAAGAATCTAAATCTTACCTAGATATTGTTCATAACAAATTTGTCATTAAAATACAGGAACAGCAACAGTAGCAGAGAAACCACTAAAACCCCCAAAACACCACCTGATTCCATTGCTTTGCATCATGTGCAGACATTTATATCTGTGAAAGTGGTTGTGTTTTTCACACTTTGCAGATATAAATAACTACACAAACTTCAAGGCATCTGAGAATCCAGCTTGTGAAGTAATCTTCAGAACAAGGCAGTATTTTATTTCCAAGGGGATGTACTCAGGAAGGGCAGCATAACTTCCACAGCATTGTCTACAGTTCAAGTAGCAATTCCACTAGCAAATATCAGTGAGCTGCTGCATTTAAAAATTAACCTGGACCCAAATCTCTGACAGTGAAATAGTGGATTTACTATGACAATTTGATCAACAGAGATGATCCTTATGCCTGCTTCTAGTGATGGTGTTGTGTCACCTAATGGTGACTCTTGAAGTTAGTGAATGGCCAAACATGTAGAATGTGTGATTGGGATAATGGGAAAGAGCAGGAGGACATATTAGAAGCCAACAAGGAGGGGTTTCAAAATAATATTGCTCAAGAAGAACAGTTGGACCCTTGTCTTGTGTTGGCAGTCAGCCTTATTTGTTAGAACCCTTCTGCTATCAAATGGGGAATGAGCCTGTTCGGGAGGAGTTGAGGTGCATTCTGGTCAGATAGCAAAAAATTCTAAGTAGATATTGGCAGCATGAGGGGGTGGCATTTGCTAGGAAGTACTGAATTTCCAGTGCCAAAGAAGACCAAGGTGAAAGCATGGATCTAAACAAAAGAAGAGTTACAACTGAATGAGGCTTGTAGTAATGTCAGCATTTAAGAGTTTGACTGAACTTATTTTAAGACATGTACATAAAGTCTGATACGCTGTAGGGCATTTACTGCAGTTAGCAATAGATAGATTGTTTAATAAAACATTAATGTTCGACACTCTAGAGGAGATTTTCAAAGGCACAAATTACAGCAAGGCACCTAACTCCATTAACATTCTCTGGAGTTGGGACATTAACTACCTCTGAGGCTTTCGATAAATCTCTGTGTTCCCTTCTTAGATATTTAAGCAGATGGGCCTTAGGAATTTTCTGCTTACCCTATCATACTCTACTTCATAATTAAATTGGGAATGTTCATTCAACATATTTTTTTTTTTTTCCTACAGGGTCTGGGATATTAAATTCATCCAAGAAGTAGGAAACTGAGCTTTATTTGGGAATTGATGGGGAAATATTATGGTTGAGGTTTTCAATGCCAGCTAGGGAATCTAGACATACAACTCCCATTAAAAATAATTACTATTGCTGCACCAGGGGAATTCTCTCCTGACTTGATCTCGGGCTTCTAGAGTCTTTTTACAGGACTCTTGCCCCTTTACATGGAATAGGGACTGGATCAGGGCTGTGAATCTCACTATATAAATTCAGCCCTTTTATTGTTTGCCAATATGTTAACAGATTGGGTTTTTTTAAAAATGTGTTACAATGGTCATGAGCCTATTTCAGCTAAGGGTTGCTCATTGACATTTACTTGGTATATGTACTATTAATTATTTGTGCCATATGGTATTTTCTCCTGGTAAAATGACTGAAAAGTTTATAAATTGGAACAAAATCAAAGAAATTTAAAGATGGCTACCTACATAAGAGCATAAGAATGGCCATATTGAGTCAGACCAATGGTCCATCTGGGCAAATATCCTGTCTTCCAACAAAGGCTAATGCCAGATGTTTCAAAAGGAATGAACAGAACTGTCAAGTGATCCATCCCCTGTCATCCAGTCTCAGCATCTGGCAGTCAGAGGCCTAGGGACACCAAGAGTATGGGGTTGCATCCTAGACCATCTTGGCTAATAACTATTGATGGACCTGATCTCCATCTACTTATCTAATTGTTTTTTTAATTCAATTATACTTTTGGCCTTCACAACATTCCCTGGCAATGCGTTCCGCAGGTTGACTGTGCCTTATGTGAAAAAGTACTTCCTTTTCTTTGTTTTAAACCTGCTGTTTATTAATTTCATTGGCTGACCCCGGGTTCTTGTGTTATGTGAAGGGGTAAATAACACTTTCTTACTCACTTTCTCCACACCATTCATGATTTTGTAGACCTCTATCATATCCGCTCCTTAGTCATCTCTTTTCTAAGCTGAATAGTCCCAGTCTTTTTAATCTCTCTTCATAGGGAAGCTGTTCCCCATGCCCCATGTTTGTTGCTCTTCTCTGTACCTTTTACATTTCTAACATATCCTTTTTGAGATGGGATGACAAGTTTTCAACGTGTGGGTTTACATGGATTAATATAGTGAGATGTTGATATTTTCTGTCTTATTATCTATCTCTTTCCTAATAGTTCCTAACATTCTGTTAGCTTTTTTGACTGCCGCTATACATTGAGCGGATGTTTTCAGAAAATTATCTTCAATGAATCCAATATATCTTTCTTGGGTGGTAACAGCTAATTTAGACCCCCACCATTGTGTATGTATAGTTGTGATTATGTTTTCCAATGTGAATTACTTTGCATTTATCAGTATTGAATTTCATTTGGCATTTTGTTGCCCAGTCACCCAGTTTTGTAAGATCCCTTTGTAATACTTTGCAGCCTTTTTGGTTTTAACTGTCTTGAGTAATTTTGTATCACCTGCAAACTTTGCCACCTCAGTGTTTACCTCTTTTTCCAGATCATTTATGAATATATTGAATCACACTGGTCCCAGTATATATTCCTGGGGGGGGGCCTGCTATTTACCTCTCTCCATTCTAAAAACTGACCATTTATTCCTACCCTTGGTTTTCTGTCTTTTAACCAGTTACTGATCGATGACTGCTTACTTTGCATAAGAGCCTTTGGTGATGGACCTTACCAAAGTCTTTCTAAAGTTCATGTACACTGTACTAACTGGATCACCCTTATCCACATGTTTGTTGACCTTCTCAAAAAATTCTAATAGCTTGGTAAGGCATTATTTCCCTTTTACAAAAGCCATGTTGACTCTTCCCTCAACATATTGTGTTAATCTGTGTGTCTGATAATTCTGTTCTTTACTATCATTTCAACCTATTTGCCTGATACCAAAGCTAGACTTACTGGGCTGTAATTGCCAGTATTGCCTCTGGAGCTTTTTTAAAAAATTGGCATCAATATAATATCCTCCAGTCATTTGTCTTATGTGATGGGCTACATACCACAGTGTGTATGAACATTCAGCACAAACACATTGCAAGAGTATTTGTCAAACTTCTAATTTCTTCCAACATTCTTGTGAACAAAAAGACCCAAGTATAGGAACGGTCATAGAAAATAAGTTCTGTGAATCCTATTAAAGCATATTAGAGGTTTATTTGATTGACTGACTGATGGTTATTACTGTTTTGTAGTGCGTGTACAGCTCTGTCATTGTTGAAATGCCTTTTCTCCACAGAGAGATTTAGTGGTCAAACAATGAGCATCTCTTCCCAAAGCAACATATGCCATCAAGGGTAAAATCAACATTAATTTACAATTTGTGTAACCCCTTTGTTTTCAGTGGGATTGCATGAGATATAAGTTGTTACACTTCTGGGTCTATTGTTCACCCAGGTATGTAGCTGTACCTCCCATTGAAATCAACAGGAATTACACCATATAATTGAGAGCAGATTTGCTCCAGTTACTATAAATCAGGACCCCAGTCATTATTTTATTTATTTATTTATTACTGTAGCACCTAGGAGCCATAGTCATGGACCTGGACCCCATTGTGCTAGTCACTGTACAATTGCAAAATAAAAAGAATGTCCCTGTTCTAAAGAGCTCGACAACTTTTTGCATGCAAAATTTGTTTAGGTGCTTCATTTCCTTCTAATTTATACCAGTCTAACTCCATTAACTTCAGTACAGTTACTATACATTGGTTTACAGTGGGATAAGCAGAGAGAATCCAGTCCAATAAGTGATCTCAATGGCAATTAAGCACATAAAAGACAAAATGCTGAACTCCATTCATTTAAAAACAAATAGTATGTTTCAATTTAAAGCTAGGAAGATGAAACAATTAAAATCAAAAGTGATTTATTAAATATTTTATCTCATCCTTCTTGTGACGTTATTCAGTTTTTAACCAATAACAATGGGTAGATGTTTAAAGATTCATAGATTATAAGGGCAGAATAAAATGTCGTGATCGTCTAGTCTAAAGTCTTTATAACACAGGCCACAGTCCTTCCTTGAATTAATTCCTGTTCAAAGTAGAACATATCATTTAGGAAAAAAATCCAATCTTTATTTTAAAATGTCCAGTAATGAAGAATTCTCCACAACCCATAGTAAATTGTTCCAGTGGTTAATTACCCCTCACTGGTTTGTTTTTTTTTAAGTGTCTTATTTTGCATCTTAATTTCTCTAGCTTCATCTACCAACCTTGGATCTTGTTATACCTTTGTTGGCTTGATAAAAGATTCCTCTATCAAATTATGTTCCACATCTAAATAATTTTATTCTGTAATCAAGTCATCCGTAAACCTTCTCTGTAATAAGATAAATTGATGAAACTCCATGAATCTTTCACTATAAGGCATGGTTTCCATTTCTTTTATCCTTCTTGTGGCTCTTTTCTGAACCCTTTCCAATATCATTCTTGAAGTATGACTGGAACTAGACACAATGTGCCAGAAGACTTGTATCAATGCCAGAGACAAAGGTATTATACCCTCTCAGCTACTTGATGTTCCCCTGTTTATACATTAGACTTTTGGGCACAGTGTTGCACTGGGAGCTCATGTTCAGCTGATTATTTTCCGAATCTCCAAGTCTATTCTGGACTTCCTGCTTTCCAGGGTAGTCTCCCATCCCATAAATATAGCGTGATTTTTTTGTTCCTAGATGTATGACCTTACATTTTGCCATACCAAGACGCATATTGTGTGCTTGTGCCCAGCTTACCAAGCAATCCAGACCACTCTGTATCAGTGACTTGCCCTCTTCATTATTTGCCACTCCCCCAATCTTTGTGTCATCTGCAAATTTTATCAATCACGATAGTCACCTCATTTCTTTTTTTTTCTTTCTTTAAACAACAGCAACAAAAGGTAGGTTTCCATGGTACTGAAAGACTTTCATTTCACCTTTCTGAGAATGTTTTTTGTCTGTCTGGTTTGAACAAACAGATCTCTTTCCTGTTTACATTTGTAATCTGTTCAAATAAACACCACCACATTTTTTAACATTTAATGTACTGTGAAATTCTATTTAGTGCTACTTTGGTGGCTACTATCTATATGCTTTTATTAACCACCCAACAAACAAAACTTTCCTGCCTTTAACTAGCAAAAGAAAATTAAAATGTTGAAATAAGGAATTCATTGTTCATATGTTTCGTGATTAAATCCTTTAATAATGTATTCATTCTTAAAGGATCTGTGCTTTTGTTTGAATGTATGTCAACACAGGATAAATGGATATGAAATCTGTTTGAAAAGTGCTTACTTCTATTTAAAAGCACAGCTCGTTAGTAAAACCTCTTTACAATCCTGTACATAGGATCATAAAAATATAGAGCTGGAAGGGACCTCAAGAAGACATTGAGTCCATCTCCTGCACTGAGGCAGGACCAAATATGTATAGCCACCCCTGACAGATATTTGTTTACTTGTACTTAAAACCCTCCAATGATGAGGATTCCACAGCCTCCATTGGTAACCTATTCCAGTACTATGTTTATAGCTGGAAAGGTTTTCTTACTATCTAATCTAAATCTCTCTAACTTCAGATGAAGCTGATTACTTATACTACCTTCAGACATGAGGAACAATAGATCACCATCCTCTTTATAACAACCTTTTACATATATGTGGACTGTTATCATGTTCACCCTCTATTTCTCTTTTCTAGAATAAAGATGCACAATTCTTTCCACTTTTCCTCATAGATCATTTTTTCCAAACCTCTTATAATTTTTGTTACTGTCCTCTGAAGTCTCCCCATTTACTACACATTTTTCTTAAAGGGTGGTGCCCAAAACTATACACTGTCCTCCAGGTGAGATCTCATCTGTGCCAAGTAGTAGAGCTGAACAATTATTTCCCGTGTATTACATATGACACTCCTGTTAATACATCCCAAAATGATATTAGCCTTTTTTACAATGGCATCGCATTGTTGACTCATATTCAATTTGTTATCCATTATAACCCCAAGATGGATTAAGTTTAGAAGTGTGAGCAACAAGAGTGATGTAGTGGTGGGAGTCTGCTATAGACCACCGGACCAGGGGGATGAGGTGGATGAGGCTTTCTTCCGGCAGCTCGCAGAAGCTACTAGATCGCACACCCTGGTTCTCATGGGTGACTTTAATTTTCCTGATATCTGCTGGGAGAGCAATACAGCGGTGCATAGACAATCCAGGAAGTTTTTGGAAAGCGTAGGGGACAATTTCCTGGTGCAAGTGTTAGAGGAGCCAACTGGGGGGGAGCTTTTCTTGACCTGCTGCTCACAAACTGGGAAGAATTAGTGGGGGAAGCAAAAGTGGATGGGAATCTGGGAGGCAGTGACCATGAGTTGGTTGAGTTCAGGATCCTGACACAGGGAAGAAAGGTAAGCAGCAGGATACGGACCCTGGACTTCAGGAAAGCAGACTTTGACTCCCTCAGGGAACAGATGGGTAGGATCCCCTGGGGGACTACATGAAAGGGAAAGGAGTCCAGGAGAGCTGGCTGTATTTCAAGGAATCCCTGTTGAGATTACAGGGACAAACCATCCCGATGTGTTGAAAGAATAGTAAATATGGCAGGCGACCAGCTTGGCTTAACGGTGAAATCCTTGTGGATCTTAAACATAAAAAAGAAGCTTACAAGAAGTGGAAGGTTGGACAAATGACCAGGGAAGAGGATAAAAATATTGCTCGGGCATGTAGGAATGAAATCAGGAGGGCCAAATCGCACCTGGAGCTGCAGCTAGCGAGAGATGTCAAGAGTAACAAGAAGGGTTTCTTCAGGTATGTTGGCAACAAGAAGAAAGACAAGGAAAGTGTGGGCCCCTTAATGAATGAGGGAGGCAACCTAGTGACAGAGGATGTGGAAAAAGCTAATGTGCTTAATGCTTTTTTTGCCTCTGTCTTCACGAACAAGGTCAACTCCCAGACTGCTGCGCTGGGCATCATAACATGGGGATTAGATGGCCAGCCCTCTGTGGAGAAAGAGGTGGTTAGGGACTATTCAGAAAAGCTGGACGTGCACAAGTCCATGGGGCCGGACGAGTTGCATCTGAGAGTGCTAAAGGAATTGGCAGCTGTGATTGCAGAGCCATTGGCCATTATCTTTGAAAACTCGTGGCGAACGGGGGAAGTCCCGGATGACTGGAAAAAGGCTAATGTAGTGCCAATCTTTAAAAAAGGGAAGAAGGAGGATCCTGGGAACTACAGGCCAGTCAGCCTCACCTCAGTCCCCGGAAAAATCATGGAGCAGGTCCTCAAAGAATCAATCCTGAAGCACTTACATGAGAGGAAAGTGATCAGGAACAGTCAGCATGGATTCACCAAGGGAAGGTCATGCCTGACTAATCTAATCGCCTTCTATGATGAGATTACTGGTTCTGTGGATGAAGAGAAAGCAGTGGATGTATTGTTTCTTGACTTAAGCAAAGCTTTTGGCACGGTCTCCCACAGTATTCTTGCCAGCAAGTTAAAGAAGTATGGGCTGGATGAATGCACTATAAGGTGGGTAGAAAGTTGGCTAGATTGTCAGGCTCAACGGGCAGTGATCAATGGCTCCATGTCTAGTTGGCAGCCGGTGTCAAGTGGAGTGCCCCACGGGTCGGTCCTGGGGCCGGTTTTGTTCAATATCTTCATAAATGATCTGGAGGGTGGTGTGGATTGCACTCTCAGCAAATTTGCGGATGATACTAAACTAGGAGGAGTGGTAGATATGCTGGAGGGCATGGATAGGATACAGAGGGACCTAGACAAATTGGAGGATTGGGCCGAAAGAAATCTGATGAGGTTCAATAAGGATAAGTGCAGGGTTCTGCACTTAGGACGGAAGAACCCAATGCACAGCTACAGACTAGGGACCGAATAGCTAGGCAGCAGTTCTGTGGAAAAGGACCTAGGGGTGACAGTGGACGAGAAGCTGGATATGAGTCAGCAGTGTGCCCTTGTTGCCAAGAAGGCCAATGGCCTTTTGGGATGTATAAGTAGGGGCATAGCGAGCAGATCGAGGGACGTGATCGTCCCCCTGTATTCGACATTGGTGAGGCCTCATCTGGAGTACTGTGTCCAGTTTTGGGCCCCACACTACAAGAAGGATGTGGATAAATTGGAGAGAGTCCAGCGAAGGGCAACAAAAATGATTAGGGGTCTGGAACACATGACTTATGAGGAGAGGCTGAGGGAACTGGGATTGTTTAATCTGCAGAAGAGAAGAATGAGGGGGGATTTGATAGCTGCTTTCAACTACCTGAGAGGTGGTTCCAGAGAGGATGGTTCTAGACTATTCTCAGTGGTGGAAGAGGACAGGACAAGGAGTAATGGTCTCAAGTTGCAGTGGGGGAGGTTTAGGTTGGATATTAGGAAAAACTTTTTCACTAGGAGGGTGGTGAAACACTGGAATGTGTTACCTAGGGAGGTGGTAGAATCTTCTTCCTTAGAAGTTTTTAAGGTCAGGCTTGACAAAGCCCTGGCTGGGATAATTTAATTGGGGATTGGTCCTGCTTTGAGCAGGGGGTTGGACTAGATGACCTCCTGAGGTCCCTTCCAACCCTGATATTCTATGATTCTATGATTATAAGATCCTTTTCAGAAATACTATTTCATAGCCATTTCCTATGTTGTATTTCTGCAAATTATTTTTCTTTTCTAAGTTTAGTATTTTTTCATCATCTTCTTTAATTTAATCTTGTTGATTTCAGACCAATTCTACAATTTGTCAAGGTTGTTTTGAATTCTAATCCTGTCCTCCAAAGCACTTGGTGTTATTAGCTCTTCCAGCTTGGTGTCATCTGCAGATTTTATAAGTGTACTCTCCATTCTGTCATTCCAGTCATAAATGAAAATATTGAATAGGATTCTACTAGATATGTCCCTCCAGTTTGACAGCAAAACATTGATAACTATTCTTTGAGTAAGGCTTTCAACAGTTGTGTACCCACTTGAGAGTAATTGTATTTAAACCACATCTTCCTAATTTGTATATGAAAATGGCCTATAGTGCTCTGTCACTAAAATAAAAATATATCATGTATACTGCTTTGCCCTTCTTCAGTAGTCCAGTGATCCTATCAAAGAAGAAAATCAGGTTGGCTTGGCTTGATTTGTTCTTGACAGATCCATACTGGCTAATACTTATCATTCTATTATCCTTTAGGTGCTTACAAATTGATTAATCAATTTGTTCCAATATCTTTCCAGGTACCAAAGTTAGGCTGAATGGGTCACAATTGCCATGGATTCTTTTTGTTTATCCTTTTAAGTTAGGCATCCATCCTTCATTTGTTCCTGAAGATAATCACTAATGGTTTGGAGATTGCTTTATCTAGTTCCTTAAATATTGTAGGGTGGATTTCATTAGGCCCTGCTGACTTGAATACTTTTAATTTATCTAAATATTCTTTTAACTGTTCTTTCCCTATTCTGGTTTGTGTTCCTTGCCCCTAGTTGTTAATATTAATTGTTGTAAAGCACATGGTCACAATTAACCATTTTAGTGAAGATTTAAGCAAAATAGATATTAAACAGCTCAGCTTTCCCGCTAAGTAGTGGATCTGCATTTTCCTTAATCTTTTTCTTGCTCCCAATGTATTTATAGAAACTCTTCTTCTTTCCTTTTATGTCCTTTGTTATTGTAACTCATGTTGTAGTTTAGCCTGCCTGATTTTGTCCCCACATGCTTTTGCAATTCTTTTATACTCATCCATAGCAATTTGTCCATGTTTCTACTTTTATATCTGATTTAAAAAAAAATAAGGTAATTAAAGAGCTCGTCAGAGAGCCACAATAGTCTCTTAATATTTTTCCTATCTATCCTCCTCATTGGCATAGTTTTCTGTTTTGCCTTTAATATTATCTCTTTGAGAAACTGCCAGTACTCTGGAATTCCTTTTTTCCTTAAATTTGCTTCCCATGGGATGTTCCCTGCCAGTTCCCTGAGTTTGTTAAATCTGCTTTTTTGAATCCATTGTCCTTATTCTGCTGCTCTCATGTCTTCCTTTCCTTAAAATCATGAACTCTGTCATTTCATGATCATTTTCACCTATTGTAACTTTACATTTGCAACCAATTCCTCCCCGTTAAAATCAAATCTATAAATGGCTCCCCACCACCACCCAGTTACTTACACCTTCTGAAACAAGAAGCTATCCACAACACGTTCCACAAACCTATTGAACATTTTGTGTTTTGCCATATTTCTTTTCAACTGCTATCTGAGTAGTTAAAGTTCCCTATTACCAGCAGGTCTTGTGTTTTGAGTATTTCTGTTGTTTGTTGTAGAATGCATCTTTCAAGTCCTCTTCCTTATTTGTCGGTCTATAGTAGACACCTACCATGACATCACCCCTGTTTTTTCCTCTTTTATCATCATCCAGAGACTTTCTACTGCTAGCCTCTCACCTCCTTCCGCACTTCAGAACGAGTATATAAATTCTTGATGTTCAAAGTACACCTCCTACTCATATATATGAAAGCTGTGTCCATTGTACACAGTCAAGTGTCTTAGTCTGCAATTCCATATTTCAAAAAGGGAAAAAAAAGATATCTCTGAAAAGGAATGCTTGTATACTGCAGCAGAAGATTTTAAGTAATAAAAGGAGTGCAAAAGTAGGGTAGACAAAGTTATGTATTGGAATCCTCCGTGTGGCTGAACCTGTGCAAACCGCAGAGCAGGGGTTAGAACTACAAGTGCCCAGAGAAAGAAGCTCCTCTCACTCAGAAGATAGTGTGGTAGTAGTTAATGAGCATGTTTGGTATGTTTGTGAAGTCAGTGTGGGAATCACCACTACAGGCCGATTCACATGTTTCAGTATACCCTCAGTCCAGAACATCAGCCAGTCAAAGCTCAAATTGGGATTCAGAAACCTGTGCCCACGAACACTCATCTCTAGCCTGCTGGGAGTGAGCTCCAGCCGATCTGCACTGTCCTCCAAGAACCCCCACTGCTGCTGTGTTCCTATATAGGGAGAAGAAAAGGTGTTGGTCAAAAGGAAGTATCTATGGAGTGTGGGTGGCATAGCTGAGCAGAGGAGGCAGTGTTCTGAGAGGAGGATCTAAGCACTAGACAGTGTGCTTGGGAGGAAGCTGAGCAGGGCAAATATCTGGGGAAGGATAGGGGACCAGTCAGGAGGTAGTGCCCATTGGAGAAAGGGACATGCAGGGAATTGAACAAGGGATAAATATTGGGAGAGGGATCAGGGGATATTCCAGGGGAAGGATCAGATTATGTTGTTGGGGAAGTGCCCTATCTATCAATGTGAAGTAAAAAGGAGAAGTTTCCCCAATTTGTGTGTAAATTTCAGGTTGTTTCCTGAAATTCACACACATGAAAAGGGTGATTCCCCTGAAGATCAAAGTTCAGAAAATGAAACCAAAAAGAAATATTAATTTAAAACCATAAATTCCTCATGATTTTCAAGTCACTTATGATTTATTTTTCTTTTTATGGTCTGATTTTTTTTTAATTCATGGGATTGGCAAAGTTTACACTTTAAGGCTTCTTAAAAATGTTTAGTTTCTTTTATTAAAAGTAAATATGTGTATACTCTAATTTACTGTGTGGTATTTTCTTTTTGAATGTTCTTGGGAGATATTAATAAGATCTACATTCAGAATTTGAATACAGTGACTGAGTCTGACACTGCATAGTGCTTTCTGAAAAGTCCTAAAAAAGGCAGAATTATGGTCTGTACTTCAACAAGGAGTTACGCTGCAGGAAGGTCAATAGTAACTGTGCATAACTTGCCCAGATATCCTTTTTACGTTAGCGCCCAGAAATCAAACATCTATGGTTAAAACTCTGCCATGGAATTTGATATTAGAAACAAAGTGGACTGACTCTTTTGGCTTTTAAAAAAATATTGAAATAGGACCTATGACCTTCAAAAGCCATTCAAATGTCAGCATCATATCCTCAATGACTAAGTTAAAATCAGCCAAACAAAATACAATCTTTTATTTATTCTTTTTTATATGTACCATACTGAGAGGTGAAATTTAGGTTTGAGCTACTGCACTGATTTTTTTTAACAATAAAACAGGTGAGTTGTCATTACCCTTTCTTTAAATGACCTCTCAACTTTTTATTTGATAAGGCATAAATTATTGTCACTCTGTTGTTTTTCAAGTAAGGAGAGAATGTATTTCTGCTTGAGCAAACCATAAAATACTGTAATTGTGCTAAGGAGAAAAATCACTGCAAGAAAATGAACAGAGAAAGCAAAATTGGACTTGTTTATAAGCAATTCCATGTACTGGTCACAGGCTGTCCTACATTTAGCCCTGTAGACTTTTAAATTAACATTATCATGGTATAAACACTGGGAAATCAAGGACCATATTTTCAAAAGTATGCATGTGTTTTTGTGTACGCTGCCCTGACTTTCCTGCAGACAAACTCTTTGGTATATGTGATTGAACAAATAACTATAGGCATGTTAAAACCAGTGTTTGCAAGTGTGTAAATCAGAGGGGGAGGAATCAAAGAAAGTCCCTTACTCAGTTTAGTGCACATACTTTAAACAATTCACACACACCCCATATTGGTTTTTACAGTGTAAACACTGTAAAGGCCCGTGCTGTAGTGACACCATTGAAGATAATAGGTGTTTGTCCTCATTAATCAGTTAATTAGACATGTGAAATTGAATCATGAAACAGAATGTTCATGGTCATCCCCTCCTTTTGCTCTTCTCCCATTGGGCTCCCAAGTTATTTCCTTCGCCTTAAACAAGAATTTGCTGACACCTTAGGTTGGTGCACCATGTCCCATATTAAGGAGTTGACAGTCTCTCTCCCTCTTTGTTCTTTAGGAAGGTCCCTATAAAGACTTCTAGATGTGTTCTTTTCTGATGTATTCTGTTCTGGATCAAAACTTTTTACTTATAAAATAGTCTTTCATGCTTTGTCTAACTTTAGGATCACACCATTAGAACAGTAACCACTTCTTTATAGAACTGCAATCTGGCAATCCATCCATACTGTCACCAAACACTACTGCCTGAATCTAACCAGCTCAGATGATGTGGCATTTGGATGACAAGTTTTGAGGACAATCCTTAGGGCTTCCCTTCGGGAAAGATTCCTCAACTCAGGGTATGCTTCATATTTTTTCTTCACAGTCCTGCCTTCCTTCATTTCAGCCTTTTCATCATCTAGAGTTAATGGTACATATTTTCATTCCTGGAAGCCATACCATGAGGAAATAATGAGTGAAATCTTGGCCCCATTTAAGTCAATGACAAAATTGCCATTAACTTCATTGGAGCCAGGATTTTACAAAATATATTTTTCTTTCTTCATAGTTGTTTTCCAAGGCCTGGTAACACTATGGAAGTCACCTTCATAGCTCACTCTTCTTCTGGTATAGGACTTGGTTGAGGCAATTTGTGTCATTTTTAATACAAAAATGCTTAAATATTTATTTACAGCTTTAAAAGTTCTCTGCTAGTCAGCCTGTTGGGAGCAGAGAAAAGGATGAATGTTTTGGTATTAAATCTGTCTCCCAATTAGAAGCTGTCTGGTAATAGATAAAGAGGAATGTCCCTCATCTGTTCTGGTGTCAGCACAGAAAACAATGAGCAGGTCAGGAAAAAAAATCTTTTTTACATTTGATTTTCTGTCTATCTTCATTCATAGATTTCAACTATGCTCAGTACCATGGAGATTCTTATCTGGAATTTCAAGGTTTTCAGTTGAAACCACAAAACAACATCCATCTAGAATTTCAGACCTATAGCTGCCAAGGACTCCTTCTGTACATTGAACAGAGCCCAGCAACAATGGGACATTTCTTTATTCAACTCTTCATCAAACATGGTACCTTACAGGTAGGGTATAATTTTTTCTCTTTTAGAAAAAATAAAAGAGTTTGGGCTTTTGTAATAACAAATGGTTTATTCAGCTTTCAGCTGTAGTAGACAATGTATACTGTTGAGCATCTTGTGGATTTCCCAGTATTTCAAGTGAAATAGTTGCTTAAATTGTCATTTTTTCAGAATTCTGCTGCCTATGATCATCATGACAGATGATATTAATATTAATGGTGATAGAAATGGAAAACGATACGGAAACATAGTAAAATTCTACCTCACAAAATGCACACATTAATAACTAAAATAGGCAGAATAATTTGAGTCTACTCCAGAGCAGGTGGAGTTCAAGGTGTTTGTCTTTCACCTAAAAAGCTGTGGAAGTTTTTTATATAGAGACAAGGAGAAAAAATAGATGCATCCCCTGGGACCTATTGAAATAAAGGCACTAACCTTAACCTTTTTGCACCATGTGCAACTTCATTGAAGTGATTAGTATTTCATGGGGAATGAATCAGTGAAGTTGTTTTATTGATTTTAGAGAAGAACTTGCAAATAGAGAAAACAACTCATTCACTTGTAGTCCTGATCAGGACCTGTTCACTTAAGCTGTAGATATTCATGCAGAATTCCACTGGATCACATCAAACTAGTTAATGTTTGGTATTTCAGGACAAAATAAATATGATTACATTTATTTATAAATTTGAAGTAGTGAAGTTTATACTGCAGTACAATTTATTCTTGTCAAAATATTCAGTAATGTTTTGTCAAGATTGTTTTAGTAAAGAGTCTGATAAGCATAATTATGAGATATTTTAGAAGAATATTTAAAAGTCTAGTACCCTTTAACTTCCTGCACGTCCCTCATTACTATCATAAATTGCTATGCATAAGTTACCCAAATTGTACTGCTCTGAGTGGAATGTTGAATATTAGGAATAGATGTAAAAACAAAGCTGTCCTTGAATATGGAGGCTAGTTTGAATTAAATACACAGCCACATACAAGAGAAAATTTAACGCTATGGTTTTGTATTGGAAGATGAAAAGCTTAGGTGTAAAATAGTGATGTTTCAATGACTGACTACTTATCCAATAGGTTGGCATGGGGCAAGAAGTTACACCAGGTTTAGCAAACTCTGATAACATTAAGACAAGGTTAGTTTTTCTTACTGTAAAGTACTGATGCAGAAAAAAAATAGACTGTCATAAATATAAAGGGAAGGGTAAACCCCTTTAAAATCCCTCCTGGCCAGAGGAAAAAACCTCTCACCTGTAAAGGGTTAAGAAGCTAAAGGTAACCTCTCTGGCACCTGACCAAAATGACCAATGAGGAGACAAGATACTTTCAAAAGGTGGGAGGAGGGAGAAAAACAAAGGGTCTGTTTCTGTCTGTGTGATGCTTTTGCCGGGGACAGAACAGGAATGGAGTCTTAGAATTTAGTAAGTAATCTAGCTAGGTTTGTGTTAGATTATGATTTCTTTAAATGGCTGAGTAAATATCTGTGCTGAATAGAATGACTATTCCTGTCTGTGTGTCTTTTTTGTAACTTAAGGTTTTGCCAAGAGGGATTCTCTATGTTTTGAATCTAATTACCCTGTAAGGTATTTACTATCCTGATTTTACAGAGGTGATTCTTTTTTTATTTCTATTAAAAGGGTTCTTGTAAGGAAACTGAATGCTTTTTCATTGTTCTCAGATCCAAGGGTTTGGGTCTGTGGTCACCTATGAAAATTGGTGAGGATTTTTATCAAACCTTCCCCAGGAAGTAGGGTGCAAGGGTTGGGAGGATTTTGGGGGGAAAGATGTTTCCAAACAACTGTTTCTCAGGAACCCAGATAAAGTTTGGTGGTGGCAGTGGAAGTCCAAGGGCAAAGGGTAAAATAGTTTGTACCTTGGGGAAGTTTTAAGTTTACTGGTAAAAGTAAGCTTAGGAGGTTTTCATGCAGGTTCCCACATCTGTACCCTAGAGTTCAGAGTGGGGAAGGAAGCTTGACATAGACATTTGTGTATTTTTAGACAAGTATTAGTATTCAAAAGCTTTGTTATTAATAAATTTCACAGTGTGGTTACCAAATGTCCCAATGTGCCATGTTAAAACTAATTCAATTCTCTTTTAGTCACTGACAAAACTGTTCAATTAAATGCAGATTTAAAACCCAATGTACAATGGTTCCATGTATACAATACAGCAATGATTACAAGTACACAAACCATGAAATCAAGTGCGAATTCACATTAGTTTAGGAAAGTGCATGGTGCTCCCAAATGTTCCAGCTCATATGCTACTGTGAAAGTCTGAAAGTAAGAAAGGGTATAGACTTGCAAGTAAAGATCTTCTGCAGCCAATGTTAACTTCAGCTGGAATTGTTAGTGGTTAGTTCCTCTGAAAATCAGACTGTGTGAAAATACAAGATACATAGATTAAAAAGTGCACATAGACTTGGAAGAACTATATAATACTTTTTAATGCAGCAGTTAGATTTCTTGATTTGGACCTGTAAACGTAATGTAATTTTTTTCTGGATGCACACAGTCTTCTTTCAGTTTTTATTTAAACATTTACCACTTTCAATTTCAAGTTTCCAATCTGTAGCTATGTAATTATGATAAATGTTGTAACATGTTTTCCTTTTTAGTACCAATTCATATGTGATGGGGCAGCAGAAGTTAGAAGCATCAATACTACTATTAGAGTGGATGATGGACACAAGTATAGAGTTCACATTAGGTAAGTTTTATTTTTCAAACCTCAGTGTTCATAATTGACTGACTGAAAGGTCAACTGGTTTGGCCAGCATATCAGTTTCAATGTATTGTGCATCTTGTAACTTATTAATTATCTCTTCATATGTACTGGTAAATCAACATGTTATTGTATTTAGACTTTCAGTTCTTTGGGACCGAGGCTGTCTTTTTTTGTTCTGTGCTTGTAAAGTGCCTAGCACAATCAGGTCCTGATCCATGACATAGGGTCCCAGGTGCTATGATTTAATAATAATAAATAAATTATTAATTATTTGCAAAAATTTAAAATATACTATCATTAAACAGCCCCCATAGTCCCTCTCTGAGATACCAAGGATGTACTCACAGGAAATAATTTTATTTTTTCTCTAAGTCCTTTTATCAACAACCTATTTGGTCAAACACAAACATTCTAACAAGAAAATAATACTACTCCAGGCTCAAAACTATCTGCCTATGTCCAGCAAAAACAGGGCGCATCATACTCCAGACAATACAGGTGTGAGATTTTCCTATGTGTCAAGATATTAGCCAGCAGAAGCTATAACATGACTCCTGGCCTTTTTCCTGTCCTTTACTAACTTGATAATCACAGCAGCATACTATAGGTGTGGAGGAGATGAATAATTGCATCTGAAGGAGGATAGGAGTAGAAAGAGAATGAGATGGAATGGTTGTTTTTCCATGCCCTCTGACCCCAAATGATGCTTAATTTCCTTTTATAGTATTGTAGTGGCAATCACAGTTATGAAATGCATGTTATTTAATTACTGATGTAAATAATCAGTATAAAACTGAGCTTGGAAAGGGTTAACCAGGAACCCCAGGATGACTGCCTACAGCAATCTTACATGAAAATTCATTTGGGAAACTATGCAAGTAAAACAGTCTTTGGGAACCACCAACAAGTTTTATTATATTTAATGTCCACAAGTTGGCTCTTCTCCAAATCTGCATCCACACAAAAGAGTGCTTTTACCAACTGTGGAGCAGCTACAAAAAAAGAGGGTTAATGCTTTACTTCCTGGTAACTCTAGGCTGTGTGGTTTGAGGAAGGCGGATGAGAAGTGGAGCCTGTATGATAGTCAAGAGACAGAGAGCAAGGGTAAGAGAGGAACTGTTTCTTGTCAACAAGGGGACTTACCTAGGGTGGCTGAAAACAGAATTGTCTGTGCACAGTTTTGGCCACCTTTTTCAAAATAAACAGGACTTGTACTTTTTGAATATAAATAAATTATATTAGAAGGCCCCTAGCGTCTGTGTCCTCAGTGGAGAACTGACCCTCTGCAAATCCTCCAAATCTACTACCACTCAACAAAGGGGCAACAATAACATTTACTTGTTTTTACCATACAGCTCTACAAAAATCATAATGCTAAATAGAACATCAGTTCTATTACAGTCACTAACAAAAATTCCCAGCAACCCAACAGACACAAGATAAAAACATTAACCCCAGTATTTTAAATTTCAGAGAAGGCTTTAGCTATGTCAGTGGGGCAGTGTAAACATCAGGAAGTTCTATTAAAGAATTTTCTCTCTGCTGCTGAATTTTGTTACTGCTGTGGAAATGCAGCAAAAGAGACAGTCATGCTTAATTTTCGAGTACATTCCAGCTATGAATATATTTGTTTCTCGTTCACACAAAGCACATGCCTACGTTTTCCACACTTCAGGATGCATCCATCCTATTTTATGTCCTTAACTTAATTGTAGTCATGGAGGTTTTTATTTATAAGAATATATATATATATCATAGAATCATAGAATATCAGGGTTGGAAAGGACCTCAGGAGGTCATCTAGTCCAACCCCCTGCTCAAAGCAGGACTGATCCCCGACTAAATCATCCCAGCCAGGGCTTTGTCAAGCCTGACCTTAAAAACTTCTAGGGAAGGAGATTCCACCACCTCCCTAGATAATGCATTCCAGTGTTTCACCACCCTCGTCGTGAAAAAGTTTTTCCTAATATCCAACCTAAATCTCCCCCACTGCAACTTGAGACCATTACTCCTTGTTCTGTCATGTGCTACCACTGAGAACAGTCTAGAGCCATCCTCTTTGGAACCCCCTTTCAGGTAGTTGAAAGCAGCTATCAGATCCCCCCTCATTCTTCTCTTCTGAAGACAAAACATCCCCAATTCCCTCAGCCTCTCCTCATAAGTCATGTGTTCCAGTCCCCTAATCATTTTTGTTGCCCTCCGCTGGACTCTTTCCAATTTTTCCACATCCTTCTTGTAGTGTGGGGCCCAAAACTGGACACAGTACTCCAGATGAGGCCTCACCAATGTCGAATAGAGGGGAACAATCCCATCCCTCGATCTGCTGGCAATACCCCTACTTATACATCCCAAAATGCCATTGGTCTTCTTGGCAACAAGGGCACACTGTTGACTCATATCCAACTTCTCGTCCACTGTAACCCCTAGGTCCTTTTCTGCAGAACTGCTGCCGAGCCATTCAGTCCCTAGTCTGTAGCGGTGCATGGGATTCTTCCGTCTTAAGTGCAGGACTCTGCACTTGTCCTTGTTGAACCTCATCAAATTTCTTTTGGCCCAATCCTCCAATTTGTCTAGGGCCCTCTGTATCCTATCACTACCCTCCAGGGTATCTACCTCTCCTCCAGTTTAGTGTCATCTACAAACTTGCTGAGGGTGCAATCCACACCATCCTCCAGATCATTTATGAAGATATTGAACAAAACCGGCCCCAGGACCGACCCCTGGGGCACTCCACTTGATACCGGCTGCCAACTAGACATGGAGCCATTGATCACTACCCGTTGAGCCCGACAATCTAGCCAGCTTTCTACCCACCTTATAGTCCATTCATCCAGCCCATATTTCTTTAACTTGCTGACAAGAATACTGTGGGAGACCGTGTCTAAAGCTTTGCTAAAGTCAAGGAACAATACATCCACTGCTTTCCCTTCATCCACAGAGCCAGTTATCTCGTCATAGAAGGCAATTAGATTAGTCAGGCATGACTTGCCCTTGGTGAATCCATGCTGACTGTTCCTGATCATTTTCCTCTGCTCTAAGTGCTTCAGAATTGATTCCTTGAGGACCTGCTCCATGATTTTTCCAGGGACTGAGGTGAGGCTGACTGGCCTGTAGTTCCCAGGATCCTCCTTCTTCCCTTTTTTAAAGATGGGCACTACATTAGCCTTTTTCCACTCATCTGGGACCTCCCCTGATCGCCATGAGTTTTGAAAGATAATGGCTCTGCAATCACATCCGCTAACTCCTTTAGCACTCTCGGATACAATGCATCCGGCCCCATGGACCAGCTTTTCTAAATAGTCCCGAACCACTTCTTTCTCCACAGAGGGCTGGTCACCTCCTCCCCATGCTGTGCTGCCCAGTGCAGTAGTCTGGGAGCTGACCTTGTTCGTGAAGACAGAGGCAAAAAAAGCATTGAGTACATTAGCTTTTTCCACATCCTCTGTCACGAGGTTGCCTCCCTCATTCAGTAAGGGGCCCACACTTTCCTTGATTTTCTTCTTGTTGTTAACATACCTGAAGAAACCCTTCTTGTTACTCTTAACATCTCTTGCTGGCTGCAACTCCAGGTGTGATTTGGCCTTCCTGATTTCACTCCTGCAAGCCCGAGCAATATTTTTATACTCATCCCTTGTCATTTGTCCAATCTTCCACTTCTTGTAAGCTTCTTTTTTGTATTTAAGAGCAGCAACGATTTCACTGTTAAGCCAAGCTGGTCGCCTGCCATATTTACTATTCTTTCTACACATCGGGATGGTTTGTCCCTGTAACCTCAATAAGGATTCTTTAAAATACAGCCAGCTCTCCTGGACTCCTTTCCCCCTCATTTTATTCTCCCAGAGGATCTTGCCCATCAGTTCCCTGAGGGAGTCAAAGTCTGCTTTTCTGAAGTCCAGGGTCTGTATTATGCTGCTCTCCTTTCTTCCTTGTGTTAGGATCCTGAACTCAACCATTTCATGGTCACTGCCTCCCAGGTTCCCATCCACTTTTGCTTCCCCTACTAATTCTTCCCGGTTTGTGAGCAGCAGGTCAAGAAGAGTTCTGCCCCTAGTTGGTTGCTCCAGCACTTGCACCAGGAAATTGTCCCCTACATTTTCCAAAAACTTGCTGGATTGCCTGTGCACTGCTGTATTGATCTCCCAGCAGATATCAGGGTGATTGATGTCTCCCATGAGAACCAGGGCCTGCGATCTAGTAACTTCTGCGAGTTGCCGGAAGAAAGCCTCATCCACCTCATCCCCCTGGTCTGGTGGTCTATAGCAGACTCCCCACCACGACATCACTCTTGTTGCTCACACTTCTAAACTTAATCCAGAGACTCTCAGGTTTTTCTGCAGTTTCATACTTGAGCTCTGAGCAGTCATACTGCTCCCTTACATACAGTGCAACTCCCCCACCTTTTCTGCCCTTCCTGTCGTTCCTGAACAGTTTATATCCATCCATGACATTACTCCAGTCATGTGAGTTATCCCACCAAGTCTCTGTTATTCCAATCACATCATAATTCCTTGACTGTGCCAGGACTTCCAGTTCTCTCTGCTTGTTTCCCAGGCTTCGTGCATTTGTATATAGGCACTTGAGGTAACCTGCTGATCGCCTCTCTTTCTCAGTATGAGGCAGGAGCCCTCCCCTCTCACGTGATCCTGCTCGTGCCTCCTCCCGGTATCCCACTTCCCCACTTACCTCAGGGCTTTGGTCTCCTTCCCCCGGTGAACGTAGTTTAAAGCCCTCCTCACTAGATTAGCCAGCCTGCTTGCGAAGATGCTCTTCCCTCTCTTCGTTAGGTGGAGCTCATCTCTGCCTAGCACTCCTTCTTGGAACACCATCCCATGGTCAAAGAATCCAAAGCCTTCTCTCCAACACCACCTGCGTAGCCATTCGTTGACTTCCACGATTCGACCGTCTCTACCCAGGCCTTTTCCTTCCACGGGGAGGATGGACGAGAACACCTCTTGCACCTCAAACTCCTTTGTCTTTCTTCC